TAATTAAATAAGCATATATATATATATATAAAACAAGAAAAGCAGACCCCCCTCAAATCTGGTCTCCTGTCATTTCATATCGCCCCCAAGTCAGAGGAAAGCTCTCCCTCCTTTGCCAGGTGTGGCTGCCTGGAGTTGGGGAAGGGAAGGAGGGCTGGGCTGGAAGCCTCCCCCCCACCCCGGGTCTTTAACACCTGGCTTGCTTCTCCACTACTGCCTCCTCCAGCACCTCCTTCTCCGGGTAAAGCGATTACGAACTAACCGAGCAGCTACACTGATACCCCAGCTGCTCTCTTTCCCGTGGTAAGACTTGGCGTGTGGAGAAAGGAGCTGGCAGCTGCTACTCGGTGGTCCCGCGGGTGAGGCGAAGTCATCCTGGTCCCAGTTAAGACATACCAGTCACAAACCCAGAATCGAAGCCGAGAGGGGTCGCTTTCCCTGCTGGGAAGAGCGCCGGGCATGGGTGTGCACGGTTCAGCACAGCGGGCAACCTCTACTCTGGGCTGATGAACCATGTGCTGAAGACCAGATGACTGCCAGAAAGGTGCGGCAACAGGGGTGATACGGCGGCGGATGGACTCATAGGTGCGGGAGATCATGGAATAGGCCTGGCCTGTGAGGAGATGGGGGTGAGGGGAAAGGAACCTCTGAACTGGTGTCACCTCCTGCCTCTTGCTTCTGCACATCGAGGAGGTTGAGTGGTTGCCAGCGATGCCCTCAAGGGAAGATGTTCCAAGGGGGAGGCTCAACCCCTCCAGGATCTTCTCTTCCCCCTTGCCAGAAGCGCTCACACACAAAGCGCTCACTGCCTCTCTGGCCCCCGACACGCCTCCTCCTTCCCGCTGAGCAGGTGAGCGCTTCTGGCGAGGAGGAAGAGGGGGTCGAGCCTCCCCCTCACAACATCTTTACCTGAGGGCAGCTGCTTCCTGAATCTCAGGAGATCCACGCTCTTCCCGCTGCTGCTCGGCCTCCTCGTTGCGCTGAGGCAGGAGGCAGCAGCCATGAAACGAGAGACTACAGGATTGCCCTGCCTCCCTGCCTCGGCATGCTGCAGTCCACCAAAATTTTCTCACGGCTCACCAGTGGGCCATGGCCCACCGGTTGGCGACTGCTGCTTTAGAAGGCCAGATCCTGAAGAGGAAATGCAAATATTTTGGCCACCTAATGAGAAGGAAGGGCTCACTGGTGGAAACGGTTGGGGGCAAAAGAATGGGACAGCAGAGAAGGAGGTGGCTGGATGGAGTCACTGAAGCAGTCAGTGTGAGCTTGGATGGACTCTGGGGGATGGTAGAGGACAGGAAGGCCTGGAGGAACGTTGTCCATGGGGTTGTGAGGGGTCGGACATGACTTCGCACAACAATAACAACAACAACAACAACGTGCACTTTTCTAGCTTCTTGGCTTTTGGCAATGAACTAAGCAGGAGGGAACAGATTTAAATGCCAGATTAATTCGAGTTCCTTTTGGTGAACTTCTTGGAACCAAGGGGACAGAAAGTCAGCTGCTAACCTGGAATTTGTTGGTGGAGTTGAAGGGAATCTCGCAGACTTTTTTGTAGCGCTCCCGGTACTCCATGACATTGCCGAGAGTGATTTCAGAGAATTTCAGTAGGGCTGTCTCTGAGGCATCTCCAATCACAATACGCTGGGATTGAAAAGGGAGAGAAACGTTGAAATGGGATTAGCACCGTTGAAGTGCTGGCTTGAATTTGCATTTATACTAGATCGGTGTTTCTCAAGTTTGACAGCTTTAAGATGAGTGGGCTTCAACTTCCTCAGAAGGCAAGATAGTTAAATTGAGATTGGATAGCTCATGCAGAAGTAAGTTTTCTTACTTCTTACTTCTGTCAGCAACTCTAAAAGACTATAGAATTATTTTATGAGTTGACATTTTGATTGCCCCTCACTTGGGGTCTATGGAGATTCTCAGTCATCCAGGTCCTGGTTGTCCCAAAGGTGCTTTTTTCAAGAGGCAACTGGACTTTCTGTTTTTTTCTTTGAAGACATTTCGCTTCTCATCCAAGAAGAAGAACCCGAAGAAGCTTCTTGGATGAGAAGTGAAACGTCTTCAAAGAAAAACCAAAAAAACACCTTTGGGTCCCTTCACTTGGGTCTGAGTTGAATAGCTGACCCAACCTTGCTGCTTTTCAAGTGTGCTTCACAATAAGCCTCATCTTTTGATCTTAACTGGTTTGGTTGAGGATGCTAGGAGTTGCAACTAAATGCCTATTGGGGACAAAACCTCTAGCCATTATGCCACCCTGGGCAGTGTTTTTCAAATTTGGCCACTTTAAGACATGCTGGTTGGGGAATTCTGGGAGCTGAAGTCCACATGCCTTAAAGTGGCCGAGTTTCAGAAAACTTGGGTTAAAGCCTTCTCCATTGACTTTGCTTATCAGACAGTCGCAAAAGGAGATCACATTATCCCAGGACACTACAACCGCCATAAATACAAGTCAGTGGCCAAGCATCTGAATCTTGATCATGTGACCATGGGGATGCTGCAATAGTCCTCTAAGGGTGAAAAATGGTTGCAAGTCACTTTTTTCCATACCGTTGTAACATTGAACGGTCGTTCCATCAATGAACTGTTGTACGCTGTGGACCACCTGTACATGCACCTTTGGGACAACCAGGACCTGGATGACTGACAACCAGGACCTGGATGACTGAGAATCTCCATAGACACCAAGTGAGGGGCAATCAAAATGTCAACTCATAAAATAATTCTATAGTCTTTTGTCACGGTTCTCATCGTATGCTAAATAAATAAATAATAATCCATAATAATTCTTACCCGTGGCACAGGTACGCTGTCCTGTCCTGATTTGAAAGAAGCCCGGTTGCAAAGGCTCACCACTTTACATAGAGCTCTCCAGGTTTCCGAGGACTGATCAAAACTTTGCCCTATGAAGCAGAACAAGGAGCAACGTGGCAGGTTTTCTGCACTGTAAGCTTAGGATGGGCAACGTAGTGCCCATTGTTACCAACTTCCCCTCTGCTGGTTGCTAGGCTTGCAAATACCTGACTGGTCTTCTGTAGTGTCCGCAGTGTGGATTTGGTTGTCGAACCAAAGATGTGAGACTGTCATTCGATTCTGGGTGAGCGTCCCGGTTTTATCCGAGCAGATGACGGATGTGGAGCCCAGCGTTTCAACAGCTTCCAGATTCTTGACCACGCAGTTCTTCCTGGCCAGTCGCTTGGCTGTGAGAGACAGACAGACCTATCCAAGGAGGATGAGAGGGAGGCGGGGTGGGGAGAGGGGATAGGAAATGAATGAGGTCCAATATTTGGAATTTGGGATAGCTAAAGTCAACTTAGGTTGAGTGCGTTAAGCCATTTGTTCAAGACTGACCACACTCCCAATCTTATGTTTCTGGCTGGCTGGAAGGTATGGGAAAAGTAATTCCAAAGGTGCTTTTTCAGGAAGCAACTGGACTTTCTTGTTTTTTTCTTTTGAAGACGTTTCGCTTCTCCTCCAAGAAGCTTCTTTAGCTCTGACTGGATGGTGGGGAATAGAAGGATTTATATTCCTTGCAGACAGCTGGTCATTTGCAACCTTCTAGAAGGTTGTTGAAGCACTTGGAGGTTTATCTGTGTCCTCAGGGTCTGTCTGCAAGGAATATAAATCCTTCCATTCCCCAACATCCAGTCAGAGCTGAAGAAGCTTCTTGGAGGAGAAGCGAAACGTCTTCAAAAGAAAAAAACAGGAAAGTCCCATTGCCTATTGAAAAAAGCACCTTTGGGACAATCATGGCCTGAAAGGCTGAGAATCTCTACAGACCTATGGGAAAAGTAGTGCAGAATATCTGAAAGGTACCATGTTGGGAAGGAAGGATCATTTAGTTCATTCCTATCTGTTCTGTTGGGTGGTAAGTCTTTGAACTGTGGAAGATATTTTGTTACTTGAGTCGTTCCCTGGTGGAGGTGTTTATGGAGATTCTCATCACTGGTGGGATTCAATTCTTTTTTTACTTCCGGTTCTGTGGGTGTGGCTTGGCGGGCGTGGCAGGGGAAGGATATTGTAAAATCTCCAGTCAGAGGTGGGATTTGCCGGTTCTCTGAACTACTTAAAATTTCTGCTACCGGTTCTCCAGAACTGGCCAGAACCTGCGGAATACCACCTCTGATTCTCAGTCACCCAGATCGTGGTTGTCCGAAAGATGCTTTTTCAAAAGGCAACTGGACTTTGTTTTTCCTTGAAGATGTTTTGCTTCTCACCGAAGAAGCTTTCTCACTTCTGATGGAACGGAAGGATTATATATTTCTTGCGGTCATCTGGTCACGAACACTCTTCCTTCAACAGAGGGGGAGGGGTATGACACCCCTGTTTACAACCAAGTCCTTTCATTAGTTCCACACCCACTTGCACTATTCAGGTGACGCCCGAAGGCACAGATAAGCCTCCAAACAAAGTCCAACTGCTTTTTGGAAAAACACCATTGGGACTTCCTGGTGGAGATGCCAGGGAGTGATCACAGTACTTCCTCCATACAAAGCAACATGGGAAGATGTTAAGGAAAGAACAGGGGGAAAGTATCCAAGGAAGAGCTCAAACGGCTGGTGGTGCGATATTTACCGTGACTGTTGCTAGAAGACCCTCAGGGACATAAGCCACCACAATTGCCATGAAAAAGACCATGGCCCTGAGGAAGGGGTAGCCGATCACCATGGCAACAACGAAGAAGGTGGCACCAAAGAAAATGGCCAAGCCAGCTATGATGTCCACAAAATGCTCGATCTCAATAGCAATGGGTGTCTTCTCATTCTCCACTCCTGAAGCCAGGCTGGCGATGCGCCCAATGATGGTGCGGTCCCCGGTGTTAATGATAATGCCAGTGGCAGTTCCTGAAAAAGAAGGAGGGAAGAGCTAGAAGCTACCAGAGGACAATCAAGGCCTCCCCTTCAAAAAAAAAAAATATTAGTGCTTCCTACCTTCTAAGCACATGGTTGAGAAGAAGGCAATGTTTCTTGTTTCTAAGGGGCTCTCATGGGTGCATTCTGGGGTACGGTTTTGAGGTTCGGATTCCCCTGTCAAAGAGGAATTATCCACCTAGAAAAAAGGAGGGAAGAAAGAAAGGAGGTTTCTTATGTGCATCATGCCATAATTCCATGGAACTCTGTAGGCATAACTCTCGGTATGGAGAGTTAATTGCCCGTGGCGGGATAATTTTCAACTCTGAAATTTACATTGTGCATTTTCTTTCTTACATTATTAAAATATGTGTATCTGCAGGAGATGGGAACATGTTTCTCTCTCCACAGACTGCCCTCTGGTGCTTTGGAGAATAATTTGACACCCTCTTCTTTGTGGTACCCCGTCAAATACTGGAATATTGCTAGCATGTCAACCCTAATTCTTTTTTTCATTAGACTAGCCCAACCCAGATCCTGCAGCCATTTCTTCATATGTTTTAGTCTCCAGGCCTTTGATCATCTTAGTTGCTCTTCTCTGAACTTTTTCCAAGGTCTCAACATCTTTTTGTAACATGGTGACCAAAATTGGCCGTAGTATTCCAGGTGTAGTCTTACTAGGATTTTATAAAATGGTACTAGTACGTCACGTGATCTTGATTCTATGCCTCTGTTTATACAACCCAGGACTGTTTTTCTGCTCTTTTGGATGCTGCTGCACATTGCTGGCTCCTATTCAAGTGATCCTTTCTCTAGTTCCTTTCCTTCTTCCAGAGAAATAAATGGGCCAAACTTTATAATCTTTCTCCAGCAGAGGGGGAGTAAAGCAAACCTTCTGGAGTGGGGAGAAGGTGAGGTCATATTTATCAGAACAACCTTCGCTCTTATTTAGGTACCTTGCATCCTTGACCAGTGATGATTCTGATGTCCGCTGGGACTCGGTCTCCCCCTTTGATCTCCACCAAGTCACCCACTACCAGTTGATTAGCATTGATCTGGAACTTGTCACCATCCCGAATCACTGTGGCTTGCTGTGCGATTGGAAGAAGAGAAGAAACAAACCTGGATTTGAGATTATACAGCAGAGATTATACTACCTGAGACTTCTCAGAAAACAACAACCGAATGAAAAACTGCCGGTGACCTTCTACCGCTGCACCATAGAGAGTATTTTATCTTACTGCACCTCTGTATGGTTTGCCAATTGCACAGTGGCAGATAGGAAAGCACACCAGAGGGTTAACGTCATTGCCCAAAAGATCATTGGTTGCCCTCTCCCCTCTTTGGAAGAGCTTTATATCTCCCGCTGCTTTAAGAAAGTTCAAAACATTCTCAAAGATCCATCTCATCCTGGGCATCCCATTTTTTTCTGAACTATTACCATCTGGCAGACAGTACAGGATAATAAAAACAAGGACAAATAGGCTGAAAAACAGCTTCTATCCCAGGGCAGTAACTCTATTGAATTCTACTGTACAGTACACTGAAGATGGTATTTAATTTTGTTGTATAATGTGCAATGACAATAAACTAAACTAAGCTAAGCTAAGCTAAGCTAAACTAAGCTAAGCTAAGCTAAGCTAAGCTAAGCTAAGCTAAGCTAAGCTAAGCTAAGCTAAACTAAACTTTTCTTTCATTGAACCACCCCCCACCCCCCGAATTAAAACAAAGCAAAACTCCCAGATGGCCAAAGAATTTGTTATTTTCAGATGCACGGGGGATATGGGGAGCCATTTTTTACCTGCGGCACGAGATTCTTGAAGCTTGCAATGATGTTTGTGCTTTTAAACTCTTGATAGTAACCAAAGCAGCCAGTTACAACCACGACAGCGATAAGAGCAACGGCCAAGTATAACTAGAAAAGAAGAGGAAAAAATATATGCTGGTATTGTGTTGTCACAGCTGCACTTCTTCAATTAATCCTGGCAGACATCACATTTATTATACAGCCACTCCTCATTTAGCAGCTGCCTTCTTTAGCAACCATTCTCAAATACGACAATAATAAACAGTAGCAAATATTCATTTTCTGACCATTATGCCCATTTACACCTGAGTAGAAAAGCTGTCAGTGTGAAACTGATTTATGTTTCAGGCAGCAGCTGTGAGCTGGGGAGGGGAGGTCTAATAAATTAATCAAGGTCACACCTGAGCTTGTTCACCTGCAATTAGCACTTTTAAGAAAATCCTGTATTACCTAGAAAAGCAGCTCAAGAGCGATAGCTTGTTTAAACAATCTCTCTGCTTGTTTGACAACAAAGGAGCTAGAACCGATTGTGGTTGCTTAAAGGAGGAGAAGGTGTCCTAGAAAATATCCCTAGGTTAATGAGGTTTAAGTTGTTAAAATATATATTCTTCTTCTTCTTCTTCTTCTTCTTCTTCTTCTTCTTCTTCTTCTT